GTTTGGTTCAATGGGTAACAGAATAACAGAAGGCTTGGTTTGGCAACAGTTCACACTAGGAGTAAACCAGCCTTTCTCAAGCTGCCCCTCCCCCTCTGATATGTTGGACTACAGATCCCAGCATCCCCAGGCAGCATGGCTGGCTGGGAATCCTGGGAGTTGTAGTTAAACACATCTGTGGTTGCTTGGATGGAAGAATCCGGAGGCAATTGTCTTCATGACAGCATAAACCAGATCCTTCCACATCTATGGTAACTGTCCACATCCATGGTGCTGAAAATACCCTCAACACCTAGATGGGAGCAATACTTGATCCCATGGCAATAATTTACTCCAGCTCAGACATGCTTGAGTCTTGGTTAACTATTACAGTACTGGGAAGGATGCCACTGTTGTCTGATTAGGAAAAGAGCAAACCAACTAGTCCTTTTTCCACATCCTTGTTAGCAATGCCAATACAAGTATTGTGCTTGTGGTTTCCTTGCATAGAGTTTTCACCTCTGTTTGCTGTGTCTTTGACTCCAGATACACTTAGTAAATTATTAACTTTGCTAACCATGGCCGAAAGCGCGAACAGCTATGTAGTCGTGTGGGTTTGACAGAGGCAGATCTCTGCACAATGACAGAGGCAGATCTCTTACTCTTTCAATGTGAGTTGAAATAAACACACGATAGCAATGCACCATGCACCTTGAATAATATAACAAAACTGGACTTTACAATACAATTGCTTGCTTGCTCGTTGTGAAGTCGTGTCCAGAATTTGGAATGAACCTAAAGTACAAGAAGATTGTATCTCATATACCCCAATAAACTCCAACAAGTGAAATAAAGCTGAGCACATCATTGGTATATTTAGGATCAACACAGTCAGCCATTGGTTAAAATAACGGAAGTAAAATCTAGGTTTTGCTTTATGCCCAGCAAGTGAGAATTTAGGTAAATATGAAGATAAATAATTCAGTGTGAATGTAATGCCTACTTTTGAAAAAGCTCATATCTCCTCATCCCCTCACACACACACCCACACACACACACGCTCTTGTTGTATTTAGTATGCATAATTCATATTAGAATGCATCTGTTTTATGAAAATTCAATGTACTGTTTCTCAGAATGTCAGAGGATTAATAGAAATTGGGGGTGGGAAAGGGTAGCCCAAGGGCCAGCTGCAGCTTGGGGAGCCTCCAAGAGTGCTTTCCCCCAGACAAACCATGTTTAAAAAAACAAAACATCTTCTTGGTGCCAATGGGAGCCCTTTTTCTGCAAACCTATGTGAAACATAAGGGGATAATTTTGGAAGGGGAGTCAGGTAAGAATTGACCCCACTCCATAATAATTAGGCTTGAAAACACCTCCTATTAGAGCCTAAGTTGTAAGGTTATCGTGTTCGTGTGTGAATGAATGTACAGTATGTGTCTAAATATGTCAAACAGTCAGACGTGACCAGTTTGTTTTGTTTAAAAAATAATAGAGCAGGAAAGGAACTTATTAGTCATCTTCTCTGAAAATGAGATGCTTTTGTACTGGCAGCATTTCTGACTGAATTCTTTCAGCAAAGCTCAGAAGAACTATGATTTCCTTAGGCAATAAGTTAAGAATCCAGTTTATATCTCAAACAATTTGAATTTTAGAATTGGCCATTCCTGAGTCAGATGTCAAATCCAGCACATAGCAAAGAAGGAGAAGAAATTAGATAATGAAAAGATACAAACTTGCATTTTAGACATGGATTCTGATATGTATTTTTATGATAGAAAGATATCTCCAAGAGGATTCTAATTATATGCTACCTCCACCCAACTCATCCAGCACTGTAGCAGCAGGCAAACATGAATATTCAATACATCCAGGGCAGTGAAGGTACACTGAACCCAAACCACCGAAATCGTCTTCCTTCATGTTCAAGTCTGCTTTGGCATCATGTTGAGACTTCAGCAGCATAATTGGAGTAGGTTGATGTGCTTTGCATGAGATAGGAGTGGATAAATTTGGAAGGATTTCGAGGACAGCTCATGATCTGCCAGATACCGACAGAGAACCGACTCCATCCTCAATAACCCAAAGAAGGGCACTTATACCCAGCAGCACATTCACCATTTCTATCCAGACTCAATAAATAAATGAATCCAGGAATCTGAATGCTTTCCTAAAAATCATGAGAGAGCCAGCTGGATGCATCCTTCTATGGAAGGAATCCCAAGGAAAGGGTGCAGCCTGAGAGAAGGCCCTGTAATCTGGCCCCCCTACTTCAACAATGGGAGATTTCAATGCAAGCAGAGGAATATAAAGGAGAAGATACTCCTCCACACAACCTGCCCTAGGCCATTTGGAGCTTTAAAGGGTTGCACCTGGTCCAGACACAAGCTGGTAATCAATTCACAAATTTAAGAATTGGTGCAAAAAAGATTGGGAAGGCATCAGAAAATTTGCTGTCAGACGTTGGACAAATGGATGTTTCTGAACAAAAGCAGCCCTACATAAAGTGCATTGCGAGCAGTGTAGCAGCAGTGTAGCAATGTAGCAGCAAGCAGTCCAGTTTTCAGGTTCGTGCCATGGCATGAAGCTCAGTGTTCAGTGGGACTATCAGTAGGGAAGACTGGTGCGTCTACATCCATTGCAGCTTTTGCAATTTATAGACGCTATTGTGGTGTTGAACTTCAAGGAGCAAATCTGTTCATTCAAGGAAAACCCAAGCCCACTTTGGACATGCTCATGGGTTCCCATCAGAAATCTTGAATCATGCTTCCTTGGCCCCAGTCTACCATAACCTCCTGATGCCAGTCCAAGGGCCTCACTCCCTTCCAGGGGGTGGATGAGAAAGTGAAAATAGGCTGTTGTCATCTCAAAGGAGGCATCGAACATCAAAAGTTCTGTCTAACAAGCTTCAGGTAGCACCTAAATTGTACTTCTACCTTGCAGATGCGAAATAGCATGGCAGAGAAGCTGTTGGACTCTGCGAAATAGCTCTCATGGTGTAGAACAATGATCTTTAGCATGACTTTCTACCAGGAAATAACAAGCCCAATGCAGTGTCCCCGCAACCCTGTTCCCAATCCTGCCAGAATGTAGTAATATTGATCCAAAATGGAAGATACATTTTGTACCCCAGAGGTATGGCCAGATAATTTCAGACTCACAACACTGGCAGCTTTAGACAGCCATGTGTATGCTTTCCTGGTGAAGCACTCAGTGAAACTTTTCTTGCATGCTTCCCAACTGGTTCCACACTGGGGATATATCAGAGCAAATAACCAAAACCTATCTATCAACTCTGATTAAATAAGAGAAACCCTGGGCACGTGCAGTTTTGCATTTTAAATTCAATAGCACTACCATGACTATAGGGGTTTGCGCCTGCTGCCCTGCTGCTACATACAATTGGGCTATAGCACCATTTGGGTGCTACTTGGAAAGCAATCTTTTTTATAAGTAAAAAACAATGAGGCAAGCATCAGTAACCACGTCCATGCCTAGCCAGCAGCATTTTAAAATAAGAAGATGGGGCAGGGGTTGTTTGTTGCTTCCCCCATTGGGCACTTTTCTCCTGCGTCTGGGGGCTGTAGGGACCTGGGACTTTGGCCCCCAAACCTGTATGCCTCTTGTGCCCACGTTTGCCACATGAAGCACACCTTTCTTTGAGGTGATGTTTGTCACCCTTTGTGCAATGGTCCACACAAATGTTTGTGAGGGCATTCATTCATTTATTTAATTTAGATCCTGCCCCATTAGTCAGAAAGGTTAATGTCTGCAATAGGGGAGAGAATGAAGGTGGGGGAACACATTATGATGATTATTGCACTGTGTTGGCATCAAGCCTTTCCGCCCCTCGCGAGGAACCCAAGGTGGCTTGCAAGGTTCTCCTCTCCATTTTATCCTCACAACACCAGGCTCTGAGCACACGTACCCATTCCAGTCCACCCCTTCACAGAGGCCCGCCCTGTAAACCTGAGCAGATCCACACCAGGGAAGATGGCACCCAAGTCAGAGGGATTCGGTCTAGGAGAGGGATGCCCATCCCGTGCCAAACTATTTATACCCTCGCTTTGCTCTGAAAAGAGACGCAACCCATCAGCAGTGGCTGTGCAAAGCTACCCTCCCTTTCCACCCCTTCTCTTCCTACCCAAAGAGGCCAAAGCAGAACCAGGGTGGGATCACCCACCCAGCCAGAAACCCCTTCCGCCTTCCCAGCAGCTTTGCCCCCTCTGGACTCTGCCTCCTAGGCAAGTGGGCAAGCCAGGGAAGGTGGTGGTGGCTCTGACCCCCTCTCCAAACTCCTTGGTCCAGAAGGTTGGACCTGTGCTACGGCCAGTTCTCCCTGCACCCCAGGAGGTCCTGTGTCCAAGGGGGGGCCCTAGCAGGCGCAGCCTCTCACCAGCATTCCCTTGCCAGTCCTGGGGACTGGGCCCGAAGTGGCCAAGAGTTCCCTGTGACTCCCACCCTCGCTCGCCATGGCTCACGCTGGCTGGGAATTGCGGGCCACCCTTGCTCGGACATGCAGCGGGCGCCCTGCGGGCACACAGCGCCCTCCCGAGGGAAGGTGGGGAGCGGTCAGAGGCAGCGGCGCCCATGCTTTGCCCGGCCCTTGGACACCGAAGAAGCGGGGTGCGCTCGCAGGGGGGAGCAGCCTCCTCCTCCACGCCGGTTTCTGCGCTCCGGGTTTTCAGGAGCGTTGCCAGGCAAAGCACTGATTCTCCTGGTGCCCTTCCCCTGATGGCGGCAGGGGACTGATTTCAGTCGGCGCCAGATTCACCCCTCTCTCTTCAGGGAGATGCGATGTTTGCTTTGCATGCCCCAAGGCGCTCCTTCCCTGGGATCTGCGGCCGCAGTTTGGGTCTGGGAGACCTCGCCGGAGCCCCTCCCTCGACCAAACCGTGGATTGGACGACTGCAGTAATCAGGCCGGCCCGGATTAGCTTCCGCGGCTGGCGCGGTGAGCAGCTGTCACAAATGGGCCCGATTTACACGCTTCCTCTTCTCCCTTCCCTTCCCTTCCCCTCCGGATTGGATCGGGGGCTTAACGGGCCTCGATCATCCGCGTCATCTCGCGGCGGGGGCCGGAGAGCGCTCGCTCCGCTGTTGTAGCTCCTGCATCCTCGCCGAGGAAGCCATGGCCGAGGTGCCCCCCTTGGTCAAGATCAAGGTCTCGCTCAAGATCCAGCCCAACGACGGGCCCGTCTACTTCAAGGTGGATGGCCAGAGGTTCGGCCAGAACAGGACCATCAAGCTACTCACGGGGGCCAAGTACAAGGTCGAGGTGGCGCTGAAGCCCGGGACCATCCAGGCCACGTAAGTGTCTGCATCCCAGCCTCGCGCTCTCGCTCGCCCGCAGGAGCCGCCGCCGCCTCTCAGCCTCGAAACCCGCCCGCCCTGCCCGCGTTTCTTTGCAGGGATCTAAGTTCGCTCCTTCCATCTCGGTCCTCTTTGCGCGCCGCCAGCACTGCTCGTCGGCAAGTTCCCTCTCCCTGCCCCTGCCCCTGCCGCGGCAAATCAGGCCCGCAGATCCCCAGCCGGCGGGCGCGGCACACGCGCGCAAAAACGCACGGCCCGACCATTTCTGCTTCCCTGCATCAGCCCGCGCCCGGCGCTGGAAAGCGGCATGGGGCGATCGCCGTTCGGGAGAGGCGCCCCTTCCCCGTACGGAAATCTGCGAGAAGCGGGCGGCGGAGCAGGGCCCTGCGGTGCTCGGCACGCCTCCAGCGAGAAAGGCGTGCCCGCGATGGAAACGTGGAAAGATAGAAGGGCTTTGGCTCTGGCTGGCCGGCGCCAGCAGCTCTCGTTATGTAACGGTTCGCCGATGCGAGGCCTCTTCTTGGTTGTGGGTGGCTTAAAATATGGCAGATTAAGGAGATGCTGCCTTGCCAGCACGCACACGTGCACTGCTTATAATAATAACAATCACCAGCGCCACCGATAATGAACCCCACCTTTGACGGGTCGTCTTATTCTTGCTAACCTCCTGGGATGGAGAACGGTTGTGGGTGGCGCTTAAAGAAAGGCCAAATGGTTTTGTTTTACTTCAGAATGGCAGAGCTGCTACCCAGGCACAAAAGACGCCGCGGCTCCTTCCCTGAAATGTTGAAACCAGGAGTCAGGAGGTACCCGGCTCAATTTCTGGCACTGCCAGGTGGGGCTGGGAAAGACGCAGCCTGAAAGCCTGGTGTGCCATTGCTGCCAGTCAGTGCAGAAAATCCTTCCCTAGTGCAGAAAAGATCCGGTGCCTTTCAGATCTTTTGGACTACGACTCCCATCATTCCTGACCAGGAAACCAGGGCTGGTGGGAGCTGAAGCCCAAAACATCTGGAGGACAGTGGGTTGGGGCAGGCTGGTGGAGCCTGTACTAAGCCCAGTGGTCCCACTCCGTCATAGGAGCCAGTAAGGTCATTGGGTCCAGCCCCCTGCTCAGCACAGGACTCCAAGCTAAAACATCGGTACGGGACAGCATTTTACGTTTCTGAGTTTTATGTACTCAGCTGGCAAACCCAGTGGTATTTTTTGTTCCTGAGATACATGGAAGGTGTATTTAAAATCAAATCACCACATTTCATTTCCATCCAACCCTCTACTCTGCTAAGGGTTTGGCTTCACTTCCCTGTCCCAAATGTGCTCATTTCACTCGGATGAACTGAGATGAGCAATATTCTAGGAGGGTAGAACTGTTTGGAATCACAGCCGGACACAGACATCAGCAGAAAGAGGCAGCAGTATATTTTAACGCATCCTCTTTGGCCTCCTCTTTAAGAGAAAGGTGGTGGCTCTGAACACCTGCTTCCTGTTGAGAAGTAGCCAGGTGGTGTGCTTTGCTTTCAGTAGCCCAAATGGCAACAGCTCCTTGTGAACCCTCCCTTCTCCCCGCCATTAGTAAGAGAAGGTTGCCAAGAACCGCTCAAGACTAAGGCTACCAAATATTGTTTCAGGACCATGGGGATAGGGGGCGTGACTGTTCCCCTGGAAGAGACCTCAAGAGAACCCCAGGTTGTTACTTATTCTGGGATCTATGATACAGAAGGAGTTACTCACACCAAAAGTGGGGAGAGGCAGCCCATACAAGTCAACATGCAGGTAATGTACACATCTCTGGGCAGTAGAGATCAGCATTGTCTGGTATGAAGTGGATGAACAGTGGGTTGAATGAAACCATCATGAGGGACAAAAGAGAATAAAGCGGAATGGCCTGTGACAGAGACTGGTGTTCCAACTGGTAAGGTTTGGGTGTTTCGTGTCAGGCCTCCGTGATCTGACCACATTTCATGCTTCTTGAATACTTCATCTCTCCACTTCAGAGAGAACCATAATGATGGGGGAATCAGCTGTTTGGTAGCAAAGCAAAACTCTAAAACCCCGCTTTTTCTTTCTGACCCCAGGATCATTCTGGATCTGAAGTGTGATTCAAGGAGTAGATAGGGATACATAACATATGGTCTTTATTGGAAAGGTACAGTGCAGAAGAGCATAATGTGGCCGGTTGTGATTTCCCTTGACAGTGGACTTACCTTTTAAGTATCTGTGACAGCTTAAGGTTCATGACCTCAGTTGCCCCGTTCATTGCCTTAGTGCACTGAGGTTCTCAGAATTACATAGAGTCATCTCTGACTAGGCAAGTTTTTGAAGCTCAGCTAGATTACACAGTCAGTTACAAGACAAAATACACCAATATTATACATACACACACAACAATGAAAGAGTCCAACTATGAAGTATATCAGACAGGTCTCGGAGACAGCTTAGAGTCACTTGAAAAGCTGACAGCTGTTAAACTGTCAAGAGCTGAAGTCTGAGACCACAGCTGCAGCTATCCCATTTTCTCTGATACAGTGTTTTGGACCAGATGGCAGCAGAAAACAGACATCAAATATTAAATTGTTTATGTCCTGCTTTATTTTCCATACGGAATGGAAGGCATGGATGCAAGACAGTTGGGGGTGAGGTGGAATCAGCAACAGTTGCCTTCACAGACTTCTCATTCCCATCAAAGCGCACAACCTCTCTGGGCTCCACTAATACAGAATGCAGCTGGAGGTTCGGCAGATCAGTACAGAAATGGTCAGATAAAGGCTGCACTGGCTGTTCACACATGCAACTTCTGTATAACCACTTTGCTTCAGATATTCAGATATTGCTCAGCACAAAAGCAGCAACCAAATCCAGCAATATCAAATGCTGTATAGGTGTGTAGGCAGGGTAGGTCATTTCTGGGAAAAAATAGCGAGCCAAAATGTTAACAGTATGCTAATAGCATTATTTATGTATGTATTTATTGCATTTATATGCTGTCCCATACCCCGGGGGTTTTCTGGGTAGCTCACAAAAAATAGAAACAACAGTGTAACCTAACTAGAGTAAAATAAAACAATAACATCTAAACCCACATAATATCTAATACAAGGTGCAAAATGGGGAAATAATGTAAGCAACAGTAAAACCAGCAGCGAAAAGCAAATAAAACCATAGCTCTAAAAGCAGGTACTAAATAGAAAAGACTTTACTTGGTGATGAAAATGAATTACAAGGGTGCCCATCACACCTCTTGAGGAAGAGGGTTCCAAAGATGAGGTGCAATAACAGAAGGCCCCTTTTCTTGCCTATTCCCCCTCACTTCATCTGGAGGGTGAGTTTCATGAAGGATGGTCTCCAATGAAGATTTAAGTGGTCTGGTAGGGAAATATAGACAGATATCCTGGTCCCGAGCCATTTAGGCATAAGTGTAAGGACTTTGAATTGGACCCAGGCAATAACAGGCAGCCAGTGCAGTTGGTGGAGGACCGACATGATACGCTCTCTAGGACTGGTCCATGTTGATAACCATGCTGTTCGGTGTGGCTTGACTGAAGTACCTGGACCATGTTCAAAGACAGCCCCACATAGAGCACATTGCAGTAATCCAAGTAAGAGGTTACCAGTGCATGGATAACTATGGCTCTGCTCATCCAAGCAGGAACAAAGCTGGAAAATCACCCTAAGCTGCTAGAAGGTGCTCCTGGCCAACAAGGCCACCTGTGGAACAAGTGACAGCTTGGGGTCCAGCAACACCCCCAAGCGATGAACCTTATCCTTTAGGGGCAGTGCAACCACATCCAGGATAGGTTGGAAATTTCCCACTGGGCACATAGATGGCCCACCAACTGTACCTCTGTCCTGTCTGGATTGAGTTTCAGCTTATTGGCTCTCATCCAGTCCATTACTGAGCCACAACATTGCTTCAGAACAGACACCGCCTCAACTGGATTGGATGAAAAAGAGAGGTAGAGCAGGGTGTTGTCAGCATACTAGTGACATTTGAGCCCAAACCTCTGGATGACCTCTCCCAGCAGTGTCATGTCGATATTAAATGGCATGGGGGATAGAATAGAGCCCCGTGGGACTCCATGACAGGTGTCATGGCTTAGAGCAACAGTCCCCCAGTTCCACTGATTGGAGATGGTCAGCCAGATAGGAGAGGAGGTGCTGCAAAGCAGCACTACCAATTCCCAACCCAGCCAACCTCTCCAGAAGGATACCATGGCTGATGGTATGGAAAGCCACTGAGAGGTCCAGGAGAATCAATGGGGTCACATTGCCTCTGTCTCTTTCCCAGTAAAGGTAATCCCACAGGGTGCCCAGGGCAGTTTCTGTTCCAAACCTGGGCCTAGAGCCTAGTTGAAATTATTATCCACAACTTCCTTCATATTTGATGGGAGTAAGATCCGTTTTTTTTGTTTGTCTGGTTAAAAATGAAATCCATTTCAACAATGGGTAATCCACCACACTTTTCTTTGCTATTGAACTGTGGTGATTCATCTCTCCTGACGTTGTGTTGTGGTATGGGTGTGGAAAGCGAGGCTTTGTTTTCAGAAAGGTGTAAAACCTACCCTTGGAAAATACCATGGCAACCCTGACCACAGCATGGAGGGACATGCAAGATGTGGAAAGCAACACGGTGAGGTACGCCTCCCATTTGGCAACCTGGATTTTCTAGAGGTTTTGAAGTATTCCACAAGGTCAATTATATTAGCCCTTAACTAAGGAAATAGTAAGCACCAGCTCTCTCAGAGGCAATACGAGTATTTCTTCGGTTTTAGGTTTCTTAGGTTGTCTTAATTGTCAGAAGCCATTAGGGACTCATTAGGGACTTAAGATCGCCCTTTCTTCCTATGATCCCTGGTGGGTGGGTATTATGCTTAATCGGGGGTAAGACATCTTTTACTGCTTGTGCAACGTTACTAAAACTGGTGCACTCCAGCTGTTTTGACAACAGCTCCCATAATCCCTGACCATTGTCCATGCTTTCCTGGAGAAGGACATCATGCGAGGGAAAATCAAGGGCAGAGGAAGAAGAGAAAGACCAACTATGAATGGATCCCTTCCATACAGGAAGCTGCAGTCTTGAGTTTATAAGAGCTGAAGACAGGACTTTTGGGGTGGGGGGGCAACTCATTTGAAGGGTCGCCATAAGTTAGAGATGCCTTTCTGGCACAGAACAGCAAACTGGCCATGCTGAGTGGGGCTGAGAGCACCAAGCTGGGAAAGGCTGTGGTCTTACATTCTGTCACTGGGAACCCATGTGCCTGTCCCTGTCCTACTGGAAGACACATCTCTTCCACTTTGAGATGCATAGCAGATGGGGGCAGATCCTGTCAGTGCCGTGCTCTACCAACACAACAGTGTTGATTCTCTGTTGGAGGGGTACATGTGGTCCAATGCATCAGACATCCGCAGACCTCATGGCACATCGCCAAGCTGATTGCTGAGGAGCCCACATAAGAATAGGGAGAAAAGTGAAAGGATCAGCATGAGTGCGGAACTTGTGGCATTCGGTGCATCACACGGCTAAGTTTCCGCCTCATCCTCCTCATTCTCATCTTCCTACTCCTCCTCAGCATGACTTTGCCTGTACTCACTTTTGTGCTAAAGGCCCAAGAAGCAACTATGACTTCTGCATGATCCACCTTTGGAAAGACTGGAAATGGCTTACACCGCACTCTGGTCAGGTGCTTTAATGTATTCCTAGCAGCAGCTAAGTCAGCCATTTTGGAGGAACCTTTGAAAGCTCAAAAACAGCCTGCCCTGAGCTGGCACCCTTCAGATGTGCTGAGACTGTAGCTATTCCAGTCAGCATGTCCATGCTGATTGTGAATGATGGGAGTTGCAGTGCGGAACATTTGGAGGAGAGCAAGGTTGGGAAAGGTTGTGCTATTGATCACAGAATCTCACTTGGTTGCTGCATGCATAAGATCTCTGAAAAGATGCTAAGGAACAGATGTTCAAGTAGCATTTGATTTCCAGCTGAGAAGGGAAGAGCCCTTCAACACATCTCTGCCGGTACAGTATGAAGCTTTAGCTTTCCGTGGGAGATCTCTCATGCAACATGTTCAAAGCCCTTGTGAGTCTGGTGCAAGCATGAAAAGAAGTCGAAAGCACTTAGAATTTCAGCACTTAACTTTATTCTTAAAGTGCAAGTGAAAAGTACTTTAAGGGCACAGTCCAGTTGTGATGCCTGAATGCTCCGAACTCAGAGGCTTACAGGAATTCTGTGTGGAATGAGAGATGCAGCAAGGGTGAGCTTTGCCTGCTTGCCCCACTCAGCCTGCAGTTCTGCTAGGCAGGCGTTTTGCTGGGATGCCTTGGAGAAAAAGGCAAGGAGGTTGGAGTGCTCTCAGGACAGCTCCTATCCTGGCCCCTCCCATCTTTCCTTCTCCCAGAGCAGCCACCACAGTTCCTTCTGTACCAGCTGAGGAAGGGAAGCCCAAGCTTGATTCCCAGCCTCAGGGTCAGAGCAGAGTTTCCAGCCTTGGGACCACAAAATGGCTCCTGCAACATTTCTTTCCATCATGAACGATTTTCAAGGTGGCCTAGAAACGTTAAAGCAGCTGTCCATAACTTCTTGGGGCCAAATTAGGCCTGATGGAGAAGCAGTCTTCTTTGGCAGCCTAGTAGCAGCAACTGCAGTATCAGCAGCAGCACTGCTATTATCAACAAAGGTTTGAGCAGGCTGAACTGCCTCTTCCCTGTATTTCATTATTTCAGGCATTCTAACCCTTACATGTTTCCAGGCCTGGGAATGAGCTGGACCGGTCAGCAAAGTGCCTTGAGCAACCAAGCGTGGGGTGATACAGCTTCAGCTCCACTCACCTGCATGCACTTCTTGCTGTGCAATAGTCTTCCTGCACCTGGTACCTGCCAGTCTTTTTGGACTGTAACTTTCCACATTGCTGACCACTGATCATGCTGTCTGAGGCTAGTGGACATTGAATCCCAAAACATCTGAAGCACACCAGCTTGCAGGGAAGCTGCTTTAGGAGTCAGAACTGAGGGCACACCTGAACAAGCAGGGCCACCTTCGTGCAAGTCTAGTTTTGGCTTCATAGCAGGTGATGGGGACTGGGGACTCAGCAGATTTCTGCCCTCCCTTTTTCTTGCCCTTCCCTTCTTGCATCTCTGCCTGCTGTTGACATTTCATCTCGACGTTCTTTGGAGGCAGGGACCTCACCCTTAAACAGCAACTATGCACGTACACAGGCAGCTGTGTATGGACACTACTTAAGTCTGTTAGATGAGACACCAGAGCTGCTGATTCTGACTGGGCTGGAAAGTAGCCTGGAAGGGAATTTTACAATAATCACCATTCTGGAAAACGTTAATGTAAGTAGATGAGCAAAGGTCAGCTCTGAAATTCTGGGATGAGCAAGGTTAGTTGTCAGTAATAGCGCGACCAACCGTTTTTCCTGTCTTTTGCTTCGTTCAAGACCTCTGACTTCCAGGGTTAATTGGATGTGGTCTGAGCGGGTATGCCTACTGTGCCTTACATATTCTTGCTGCGAACCTGCCTGACCTTAACATTTCAGTTGACACAAAGGAAAATTTTTCAGATTTACATTAGCGGAGCGGAAATTGCCACCTCAGTGTGTTTCTTAAGCAAGTGAATTCCTGGCTCTGTGTATGTGAGAGAGATTCTCTGTTTGCAAATGGTTCCTGAATCACGATCAAGGCTAATCTGTACTTTAGCATCTTTTAGCATCCCAAAGCCGACACAGTTGTGGCATAAGGTTTTTGTGAGCCAGAAGGAACTGTGTTGCAGCAGAAGCAGCTGCTATAGAAAGAGAGGGAGCTGCCTAGCACTAGATCGGACTATTTCTCTCTCCAGCCTAGTGTGATCTACACTTAAAGAGGCCCTCCCGGAACGTGGACACTTTTAGCTGAAAAGGCCAGGGGCTGCATTTGAGACCTCCTGCTTTGCCCAGGGCTGTCCCCACCATGAGGAGAATGAGGCGGCTGCCTAAGCCAGCAGACTTTGCATATCACGAAAGGGCAATGAGTCTTTTTAAGGTAATGCATTATGGTTGAGTATGGACCATCCCAGAAAGGGAAAGAAGCACTTTTGAGAACTTCTGCCTCAAGTTCCTGGCTAGGATACAACACACCTTCTATTGCAATCCAGAACCTACTGATTAGGGAATACGCCCCACAGTTAATACGGTGGGGTGGGATTTATTTCTCAGCAGACATGAGCAGGTTCGTACTATACTAATATGTAGGTCACAGATGTAAGAGTGCTGTGTCACACAAAAGCTTTGTTGCTTTTCACAAAGGGTGACTGCTCGGATCGTGTATCAGGATACTCACAGGAACTCTGCAATGCCGATACAAGCGTAACATTTTACAGTTCTTAAAAATCAAATGAGTTTATTCTCTCCAGGTCACTGACATTGGTGCTTTTGAAACCGTCTGGCAAGTCAAATTCTACAACTACCACAAGAGAGATCATTGCCAGTGGGGGAACAGTTTTGGATGCATCGAGTATGAATGCAAACCCAATGAGACACGTAGCCTCATGTGGATCAACAAAGAAACCTTTTTCTGAAGCAAAGCAGGACAGTTGTGGCTGGACCTTCTCTTGGTAAAAGAACCGATCTTCAAGCCAGTATGAAGCCTTAACGGAGGCACTCTGTCCAGATGTTTCTCTTTAACAAGCAAGACTACAATCACAGCTCCCTGGGAATAAGTTTCTTTTGAAATGGTTGAGGCTTGTTTCCAAATGTTCAAGATGTGTGCACACAAAAAAAAAAAAAAAAAAAAGTTACTGGGATTTAAACATTTACTGCGTACCCCCACCCCGACTCTAAACTGTTCTCACTTCCAGTATAGTATGGCAGATCCAGATATTGCATAAGGCTCCCCATGGTATAATAATCTTTGGATGTGATGCTGTTTGTGACCTACCAGGAATCATTGTTCTAAGGTTCAACCGCTACACGCTGGTGGCAGCCTCTGTATTTTATTTGTATTAAATCTCTGTGCTCCTTCATATTAGTGAGTGTGTGCTACAATGTGAACTAGCTACTGCTGTGCCATAAACCCAGGTACCTTCTCCCTCCTATTGACATATGCCTGCCGTGCTATGCAGCAAGCGGGCAAACTGCAGGTGACTCTACATCCAGTGACTCAATAGGTCCAAAGCTTAATTTGCTTCGTTTTCCTGGCTGTGCGTGTGCTTGTGATGGTGGGGAAGGGGGATTGTTGAACGTTGTATAATATTCTGACTGGCTCTCCTATCATGAGTTTTGTTGGGTTTCCCAGGCTCTGAAGCAGCCCTTAAAACCCTCAGTGGTGATGGAATTCTTGACAAACACCTAAGAAAATGGCCAAGCAATATATCTGTGGATTTTAGTTGTATGTGTATATTGCGAATTTGCTGTAATTAAGTGTAATGTACAAACACCAAGCCCAATGAGTTTTGAGATGACCTGTTCCAACTGTATTTTTATATGTAAAATGAAATAAACTTGGCTACCAGTCACTTTTGACCTGCAGCAGCAGTTCTGTTGCACCAAACAGCAAGCAGCCTTTCAGGTCAAATCTCTAATGCAATGAGTCTTCCTTAGTCAAAGGAAAGCCACGTTTGCATAAGCTCACGCAGGACTGTGAACTGTGGTGCTACCTCCTGCGCACATCTGTTTACAGCTCCAGGGCAAATGAGAAGCACATAGCAGACAGAACAAATCAAATGCTGGCATGGATGGTGCGTTTCTTCTCTCTCCTGCTGTACTGGGTTAAGGTGGTTATGTATCTGCATTACCATATGTATCACCTCTACCTGTATTCGTCATGTGAACCATCTATCAATCGTTTCAAGATTTGATCTTTGTAATAAAACAGTGTTTCCTGTAGAGGTTTGTCCCTTTTAAAATAGTGAACGGTCATGGCGCAAGTGTCCTTTGGGATAGGTATCCTCGACCATTTCTGTGGGTGTCCAGGCACGGTGTTTGCGATTTTAATTTGATGGATGGAATTTCTAGGGACGGGGAATATCACTAATCTTCCTTCAGTGCTTTTCTTCTTTTTTCTCTCTGCTCTAGTCCCCTTGAATTTTACATGGAAATACCACCATAGGGTTGATGAAACATTAAGGCTGGAAAGACTATTTTGGAATGAGAAGTGGTGGGGAATGTTGGATAATACGTAGTGTAGCTTTTTACTGGGGTCAATACACTTGAAATCCATGTTACACTAATGTTGGGCACGGGCTTTGACATCTGCATCAGAACCTGAACTTTTCTGATAGGGTGGGACTGAGTGACAGAGCAAAGAAGTTACAACATGAGAGGCAAGCCTTGCTCCCGGGATTCCAGGTAAGATCTACAGTGGAACGCAGGGAGCGAGAGCACACATGCAGTTTTTGCCCTGCTTGAGTTTCTGTGCAATTGCAAATGTTTTGTTTGTTCACAGTCAGTGTAAACATTTTCTCCTCTCCTCTTTCCCCTTCCCCTTTTGTATCAGTGGAATGGAGAATATCATGGGGCTTTTTCCCTCTAAGAAACCCTTTCCCCATTTTTTTCCCTCTCGGCATCAGTAACCTTTGCCCGAGGTGTGCTGAAGGCACCCGTGACACACCGAAGTGCATAGATGGTGCACTACGTAGGATGAAATACAGATTTTGTAAGCCCACATCATGTAATGCAGCTGTCCCCAGCCTGGTGCGCTCCAGTTCCTTCAGGAAGCAACCCTGTTGAAGGCTGACGAGCATCCTTTGAAGAGCAGGAGGAACAGCGGAAGCAGTCTTCACCTCCTCAACCCTCCTGCTCTGCATTTGCACTAGACAACCGTTTCCAGCATCTTGTTGGGGTGCTCGCAGAGAGGCGGGGAGAAGGCGCAAAGCACACAGGATATGTCACACTCGGACCGCTTCCATTTCCTCCACTCCTCAAAATACCCTTTTATCCTGCTGAGTTGAGTTCCTGACTGTGGGGTGCAACCAGTGTGGTTTTTTCTATGCCAGCTGCAAAGGAGAGAAAGGGATTGTAGTGCGGATTCCCAGCTCTAAGGTCAGAGTTCTGCCCGCAACCTCAGATCTGGGACTCCAAGGTTCCCCAGCCCATCCTGGCACTCATGCTGTTACTTCCTCCAGGTTCAGCTTCCAATATGGACTGGACTAATTTATTTAATTATTATAACATTTATATGCCGTCCTTTGCCGCAGCCTCAGGTTGGCTTACGAAAATATCAATAACAATAAGGTAATACAGATCTCAATAAAAACAATACATAAACAATACATAATACAATAAATAATAGAAATAAATCAAATCAAAAAAATCAAAAGCGACTGTTAAAAACCATTAAAAATACTAATTTTTAAAATACCATTTAAATAAAAAGGTTTTAACCTGGTGCCAAAAAGAATATGAACTCGGTGCCAGGCGAACCTCTCCGGGGAGGGCATTCCACAATCTGGGCACCACTGCAGAGAAGACCCTACTCCAAGTAGATTCCACCTCCTTCAAGGAGGGTTCCTGGAGTAGGGCCTCTGCTGTAGATCTTAGGGGATGAGAGAGCATATAGGGGGGGAAATGCTCCTCTAGGTATCCTGGTCCCAAGTCGTTTAGGGCTTTATAGGTCAAAACCAGCACCCTGAATTGGAACTCAAACCCAAAACATGGGGCCAGGTTGAAGCAGGCTGGATTGCACTGCCAGGTTCTTTCTTCCAAGTTCCACATCGGTGGTGATACAAAACTTGATTTTTTGTTTTAAAAGAAATGATCATGGCCAGCATTTCTCAGAAGAATAATGAGCTTAATGGCTTAATCAAAAAGCCAAGTCTAGGACTGAGAAGCACGATCATGCAACAGACTGAGCCTGTAAGTAGCTAATGCCTGACCAAGAAAGCAACCTTACAAGCTGAGGTCGAGCCGAGGTCCAGACAGAGGTACAGGACATTCTGTGTATCAAAGACAATAGGACTTCGAGAACCTGAGCAAACAGATCCGATTTCTATTTGGAATGAGACAGCTGATTTATGCATTTGGGCAGAAGTTCTATACACAAAGCTTCCAAAATATGGTCAGGTTTTAGCATTTTGTGCATTTGGCAGAGCATCCTTTTAAGGAACCTGGTGCAGTTCCTGTGATATAATTCTCTCCACCATATGCGTTATGCCTTCCTCTAATGGGCTGTTATTGCCTGTTTTATTTACCAAGTAAGCAGCAAACTTCCCTGAGATCATCCAGTTTGTTGGATTACAGGTCCTATTGTCCACACCCAGTTGGTGGGAAGGTTCTTATAGTGCCACAGGTGGACACAGCAGTTAGGAAAGAACACTCAGTAGGAGCAATAAAGAGACTTACTCACTGGAGGACGCAGTGAGTTTGCTGCACTGGGAGTCTGGTGGGGTTTGGCTTCCTAATCATACCAACTACACAGACTGAGTAGGTGCAAAGAAGAGAGAATAATTCACATGTAAAAAAAATCTTGGTTTTACTAATAGAGACACTACAGTTTCATCAAGCAAGAACTGCTTAAACTCAAACTATGGACCAAATATGTAGAATATTGGCACTCTCATTAGTCAAGCTTAAATAATTACCAGTGGGAACCTGGGCACTCACCCCGAGTTCTGCTATAATGGATAGACTGAAAGAACCATCCCATAGTTTAATCCCAACAATAGTTCTGTAGCTCACCAGGCAGAATGGCCTTCAAAGACAGAGCTAGGTGCTTAAGCAGTTTTATCAGCATCTCACTGTCTGTCATACACTGAAGAATGTGCTTTCTTAACTAGTATTCTGCCATTCAGTGCATATGTACAGCTCTTGAGCAATCTGACTTCTCTATTCAACTGGACTTGTGTGTGTTGTTTGTCTAAATATGAGATGAATGAAGTTGCCCTTGGGGAACAGATTCTTTTGCTTTCAAAAGATGTATGAAGGCAAAACCTACATGTGAGGCATAGCCTTGCATTGATATGCGGTGATAAAGGAAAATGTCATTTATTCAACCTCTGCCCATCATGAAGATATTAGAGACAGCAGGGGAAGCAACAATCAGATAAACATACTCACATTTGTCTACCAGAAATAAAAGCAGGCATCTACATGAGACTTTAAAGCACTGAAATCTTGTTATTTATATACCATGTAAAGAATAGGGTCCTGTAAACCCTAAAAAGTGTTGCATTATGAGGCATCACTCTCAGTCTTAGATAAAGAATAACATCCATCAACCTACATTTCATCATTCCCAGTATGTTTCTTCTCTCTATCAAGCACTGAATAGTTTTACAGATTATGCTTATATTTCAAGCACATTACAGATACAAAAACATTGTCTTAAAAGAAAACTTTCTGATCAGATTACATTTTCACTATTGCCAGCACAACTATTTTTATCCTATAAAACTATGAGGAGAAAGCATTAATGATGATGTTTCATTTGCACAATCAGGAACTGCTTTGCTTCTAACTGCAGGAAAAGAGTTTTCAAATGCTATTAACTTTTTTAACAATTCATCAAGTGTAAGGATGTTTTACTAGAGACCAAGGTCAAGATCATCCAAAACACTGTATTCCCAATCACAATCTATGGATGTGAAAGCTAGACAGTAAAGAAAGCTGAAGGAAGAACATCAGTGCATTCAAATCATGGTGCTGGTATGCTCTGTGCATACCCTGGTCCAGGGGTCAGCAGCCCATGGCTCCGGAGCCGCATGTGGCTCTTTCATCCCTCTGCTGTGGCTCCCTGTCGCTCAAAATATGCATCACAACCGCCAATGTGCGACACCCACCTGCACGCGATTTATTGAGCTTTTTAACCTCCGGTGGGCCAACCATGGATAAATCCAAGAAAAGAAAAGGTTCAGAAGAAAACAGAATGTTTAATGGTACGTGGGCAGATTCATTTGCTTTCACTGCTGAGACTGGTTTACCAGTCTGCTTAATATGTGGTGAGAAATTGGCAAACAACAAAAAGTCGAATGTTGCAAGACATTTCCAGAATAAACACACAGCCTTTGCTGAAAAATATCCGGATGGAGATGAGAGAAAAAAAGCTATTTTGGAACTGATGCAGAAGGGTGATCTGAGCAAAAATAATTACAAGAAAGGATTAAGTCTGCAAGTATGGGAAATGATTCTGTGAGTTGAGAGAGGAAAAACACACATTATCCTTCCCTGTCACTCCCCTGACCATCGATCCATCCCTATTGAATATGACTGCATTTGCAAGTGTAAGTCAACCCAATCTTGAGATGGAACTGGCTAATCTTGAAATGTTGCCCGTCAGAAGGCCATTCTTGCTCAGAATCACAAATGGAGTGATATTGAAAACCTTCCCAAACCGGACAAACTTGGGTTCGAAACATGGAAAGCCATCCCCGACATTTATATGAACATGAAAAAGTATGCATTTGGAGTTTTGTCGATCTTCGGATCTACATATGTATGTGAGCAGGTCTTCTCCAACATGAACTATATTAAAAACAAACATCACTCACACCTCACGGGCGACAGCTTAGAATCCTGTGTGAAGATGAAGGTGACGTCTTACAGCCCTGATGTGCAGATGCTGTGCACTGAGGTTCAGGAACAAAAATCATGTTCACCGAGTAAAATAAATATTTTAATTGGCTATTATTTTGCAAATATTTATTTTACATTGTTCAGTGAAATAGTCCTTTTTTATTCATATTGACAGTTGACTGCACCCTCCAGTACACGCGATAAAAGGATGACGGCACACAGAAGCAGGCAGCATTTTTTGTTTGCTGCAGGTGGATAATTTAAGTTTGGCTTTTTATTTCATAAATACGAGGAGGACTCAAATAGACATTATTTTATTTGAAAGTAACCTTCAACCCAGCATCTTTTTTTCAGAGTTCAAACTGTTTTTGTTGCAT